AGGAAAAAAAAAAAAAAAAAAGTGATGAACGAGAAGTGGTGAATTACCCAAGCGACTTTCCTCAAAGAGCGAGCGAGAGGAGCCGGGGCGAGCCCCGCGCAGCGCCGGGAGGGACCCGCCGGGCGCTCGCCGGGGACCGCGGGGCTGCCGGGCGGTGAACGCGGTGAACGCGGCTCCGCAGCGACATGCAAAAAGCCTCATCTGCTTGCGTTTGACTTGCGATGCCGGCTCCTCACTAGAATGCAAACCCTTGCACAGGATGAAAACAGGTTTGTGGCAAATTCTCCTGGAAATGTTTAGCTCCCCGCCGCCGCCGCCGCCGCCGCCACCTTCTGTCTGAGATGTCAGAGAAGATCTTAATGATGACACGGTGGCAGATACCTCCGCTGTGTACCCTCCAGTGTTCTTTGGAGATGTTCAGCCAGAGATAAATCTTTTATGCAGCTGTCTTTTCATATCTGTAGCGACTGCTGCACAATCTGYACTTGATTGCAGTTAAAATACTCTCTTTAGAAGCCGTTTCGCAAAATGATGCAAAATAAACACAGATGGGAGAAGTGTGGGAGAGAAAGCTGTAAATGAAGTACTGATGGTGGACTGATCTTCCCTTCTTCTCCCTCCCCCCACCCCCAATGCTCTACCCTCAAATATGAGTCTTTTCTGAAAAAAAAAAAAATGCTACATTTCTGTTTTTAAACAATGATTTTGGGAACGCTTTGGCTGGGGTTTTGAAAGCAGCCTCCCATCAGTGGTGCTTGCCTTACTGACTGACTTTCTTGAATGTCTGTGGCTGCCAAGCCCATCAGCTTTTATCCTGACTTCACCTGTTTTAAGTATGTCTTGTTTCTTCTAACACCTTGCAGGTCATTCTTCCAGAATGCCAGAGGAAAGTTCGCCAAAGCGAAGTCCTCAAAACATCCCATACAAGGATCTGCCCCATATCATCAATGCTGAYGGGCAGTATCTCTTCTGCAGGTATTGGAAGCCAGCAGCAACTCCCAGGTGAGCACTTTCAAGCAAATGTCCTTTTTTACTATCAGTAAATACGACTCTATTCATGTAATTCGTGTTTATAGCTTGACTGGCGTTACAGGGCTGTGTGCGTGGAGCTTTACAGTGCCCCTAAGAGCTTTCTCTCAACTGAGAGAGACCCTACTGTAAAGATTGCCTTCTCCAAACTTGCTGGAGTCAGCCTTGCAGATACCAAACCTGGAGTTACTGTCATTCCATGCACACTGGCTTGGAATGCTTGGCAGTTCAGTATGCTACCAAGTGGCTCTGGCAGGTGGCTGATGCCTATCAGCAATAAACAACTATCCCCAAACTAATAGCACAGGYACTGAGGGAGGGAAAGGACTCATGAACTTTTGGGAGGTTCACTCTTTCTGGTTTTTCCAGTGTCAACAAGCTTAACATCAKCATTGGACTTCAGTTTCAATAGTAGTAGCTGAAATCTCAGGGCAACAGGCAGAATGTTTGACTGCATTGCTTTTTGACTCATTTTGAATTATTTATACTTAGTAAATGATTTAGGGAGCTCTTTCTCTGGCAATTGCAATTTCAAAACAGACCTGTGTAATGAACATGGATAAAGAATCAGGTAGAGAAAATGTTTGAATGYTTTTGTCATAATTTAAATAATCTCTTTACTATAGTGTCTTTCTGTGCTGATTATGATCTGCTATGGAAAGGTATCTCTGTTTGTCCCAGAGTTATGATCTTTCTTCTTCCACTATCTGCTGGCTTGGCATGTATTTGTGCTGCCACTAGTTATGTTGGTACCTACTTCATAAAAATCTGGATATTGTTTTATTCTTTTATTTTTCTGCAAGCCAACAGGAAGAGCTGTGTTTACTTTATACAGCTGGAAAACAGTCACAGGAAAAAGTTGTTCATTCTGTTGTAGGGACTTAAGTTTATCCTGTCAACCCAACAGGTTAGACATCAACCTGAAGATTACCTTTACAGAAAAATAGTGCTATGAAATCAAGGTTCTACTGTGAAACCAGGCTGTTTTGTATTGCAATGCTAATTAATCATTAACTACCCATAACATTCATCATCCAGTTGCAGAAGTGCTTTTTCTATCAAGTTTAATTTCTTACCAAATTAGTGGTGGGTGGATGGGTCTGTTCCAGAAACGATAAGGAGCTGAGAGTGAAAACTTGGTGTCCAAGTCCTCTGGGTAGTTAATTTTTTTTTTTTTTTTTTAGTGCTCTGTGCACCAAGCAGTTAATTAAGAGTGAACTTGCCCTAGTTTTGTGACAATAAAAGTGGATGGGATCAGTGTTGCTCATTTACAAGGAGCTCCTGAGTGCGGGTGTGTGTTTGTGTGTTTGTGTGTAAAGAGGGGGCGTACTGTTTGTTATTAGCTCTTCATGAATTGTTATTTATGAGAGATGGTAAGTGACTGAATAACAAGTCAGTGCCTGCATCCTGCAGTCAAGAATGCTCTTGAAGTGCTTTGATAGGTGAACCAAAAATACATTATTTTACCCCCTTTCACTTCTCATAAGAAGCTCTGCTTTTTCTTCTTCCTGTGTAGAAGCCCAGCAACTTTCATCTAATTTTAAATGTTCAGTAAAACTGATCTCTATATATATGTACAGGGAGAGAAAGACACCTCAGGGGACTTTTACAGGCCCGTTACAATTTATTTCAAATACYGAAGGCAATTCTTTCAGTCTTCTAACTCAATTGTTGATTCAGGTTCAAACCTTAACGCTAATGAATGATGCTATAACGGTCAAACGGTGGGATCTTTCATTGATCCATTATGTGTCTAATCCCAGCTAGAGCTATAGAAATACCTCTTCACTGCAGATGCCCAAAGGTTATCATTGACTTGTCTTCTATTAGAATAGAACTTATCGCCCTTGATCCCTCCCCCAGGGAGGGGGAAAGCCCAGGATGTCTGCCAAAGGAAAAATTAGAAAGTGGCCCTAGCCTGGGGTTGAAGAGCAGACAATGGCCAGGCAGTCTCTGAAAGTGGGGACAACTGACAGACATCACCCCTTGGAGCTGGTGCTTCTCTTTCATCTCTTTGATCAGGCTCATAAACATGGATTAAGGGCTGTGGCAGATTAATGTGCTATAACATTTTTTAAAAAACCAACAACAACCATTTTTTCAGGAAGATGGGGAAATTTTGTGAGTTTTTTTTCTTCATGCTCACAAATATCCAGGCTCTTGAGTCTGTGTGGTGTTGATCTGACTGATCAGCCCATACTGGTGCACATATGGAAGCTTTGTTGCAAGTGCCACCGAGGCCAAGGTTGTCCTGCCAGTGAAAGGCACCTATTGTGAGTTCCTCAGCAGGGTCCGCTTTGTTTCAGAAGGGGATTTAGGTGATTACTTCACAGGAAGCTGACACACAAAGGCACTCAGATGTCATAATGATTAGATGGGGTRGATGGAGTAAGGAGTAATGGGACTAAGGAAGAAGAAAGACAGTGTTTTGCACTTGTTTTTCGGGTGGGAAGTCACTCCCAGCAGCTGAGCTGGGGCCTGGGTGTCGTCTTCTCTTGCTGCCTGCTGCCAGCAGTGCAGGTGCAGCTTCCCCGGCCAGCAGCCCCACAAGCTGCCCAACTTGTTGAGCCAGTTCCATCTTAAAGTGTAATTAAGTGGTCTTGTTGAATGCAGCAGGGAAGAAAAAGCAGYATGTTGTGGTGTCGTTTTCGTGTTTTGTGCCAATGGCGGGGTTTGTGGAGCGTGAAAACGGGTAACTCTTTGGCACTGAGTGCTCACTGCTGAGTGCAACACTAAAGAGCTGAGCAAGGCATGGCATTTTCACAACTCTGTAATGTTTAGAGGAATTAAGACATTTGAACAAAAGAGGACTGATCTCATGCCTGTAGTATGTCCCAGTAGCCAAAGAAACCCTGCTTAATGGGAAAGCAGTCATTGTGTAAACATAAACAGCTCCATGCAAGGCTTAACTCCGCCACCACCCTGAGCACTCTGAGTCAAAATATGAGGTAACAGGAGGTGAGGAATTGAGAAACCATGTTCTATTCCCAGCTCTCAGACAAAGCTGCTAAGAATAGAGGCTGATGAGGAAGGGGAAGGAAAAGTTGGGAGGAGAAGTCAAGACATTTCCTTTGAGGCCCCTAAAGGGCCTGGAGAACTTCAGAGGTGACTTTCTTCCTCTCTGGTCTGTATCCCTGTAGCCTTTTCTGGACGCTTCCTCCATTCTTGTCACTGCCTAGATAAGCAGAGTTTATTCTGGGGCACTTTTAGCCCGTCTTCCCGACCTCAAGTAAACCRTATGAAATTTATTGACCCAAAGTAATTTTTTTAAAGGTGCTCATAGCTGCTGCTGCCTCTGACTTCAGGCAGAGTGATGCCTAAGTCAGTCCTGGATGTTCAATCACTTTGAGCTGGGCACTTGAGACACTTGTAGCTGAAGGATGCAYTTGCAAATGTGAGTTCCAGATATCCATGAATCTGAGCTTCCTCAGCTTTCAGAGAGAAATCATTACCTGGCTAGTTAGCATGGTGCTTGAGTGTCTCACAGTGGTCTCTTGGTGGATTTAGAGGATTGTCAGGAGCCACAGTGGTTCCCTGCCTAAGGCTGAGACACGTGTGGGTCACAGAGGCATTCCTGGTCCATTGTTAATRTGCAATGGAATGGGTTGGCTCAACTTTAGACTTCGTGACCACAGTTTAAGTAAACAGAGTTGAATAGTCTGAATAAACAGTGCCTTTGTAAGAGTTCTTTCAGTTCTACACCTGAGATGTCATTAAAAATACAAAATTAAACAAACAAAAAGCACCCACTTTTCTGTTTACTTTTTACATTTCTTTTACTCTTTGAGGAATGCCTGCCATTTTTTCTGACTTTTTAGTAATGAAAGGCCAAGCCAATAAGGAGAAAACAGATTTCTCTCTTCCCCAAGGACTTTGCAGATGTGCCKGTGGTGCAGAAGTACAAACTGCTTTATATCTGAACGGGCCCTTAAATTGTAAATATTGCTTGATTTTGGCATCTTATTACCAACACTTCCATGCCATTCCCAGAAGAACAGCACAGCTCCCAGCATGAGCAGATGACAAAATTGACTTTGACTTTCAGACCTTTCCAAAATGCATGAATAAATAAATAAATAAGCCAAAGGGAAGTCAAAGCAAAGGAAATCAAGTCACTGATTATAAAGTCTTTAATTATAGTGTATTGTGTTAATCTCTAGAAATACTTAAAGCAGTTTCTAATTCAGTGTCACTCTTTGAAGAACACTTTGTTTGTACTAAGGAGGTCAACTTGAAATGAAAGCCAAATCTGGATGATGCAAAGTGACTTATGTCAGCACRGTTTGTCATAGCTTGAATTCAGCTCCCTCTGTTTTTCTGATCCCGTGGCACACACTGCAAAGGGAAATAACAATGATCATTGTCGAATCAACATTCCAGGCTTTGCTTGCTGTATTGCTCTTGCCTGAGTTTCTAAAGCCTCCCTTCTTTTCATCAGCTGTGCATGTGTTCCTTTAATGCCCCTGTTATCTTTGCTCCATGTGACTCTTATTCACTGTGAATGGGGACATCCTTTTATGATTCCTTATGCGGTTCCAGAGGATGGGCAAATTAGCAAACCAGCTTCGTGTAAGAGGGACTCTGACAGACAGGGGGGCAGCTTTGGTTCTTGTTGCAGATACTTCCAACAGGCTTCTTCAGTGGGATCATTTTTTTTCAGTCTCCACAGGAATGTCCAACACAAGCAAATCTGCCTTTTATTCCACAGAACTGAAGGAAAAAGGTGAATAGCAAATGGAATAACAATTGTAATTAAACTGCCCCTTTTGCTCATTACCCTGTTAGGATCATATTCTGAGCACAGGTGTACAACTTTGTGACATCAGTGTCTGGGAACAAGGTGACTTTTGGAGTTCCCTGTTGTGAGTCTCAAAGCAGTAATATTTCATCGTGATCCTGAGAGCAGCAAAAGAATCAAAATCAGTGCTGGCTCTGTGTGCCACCTGATGAACTGGAAACAGTGCTGTGCAGCA